GGTTATATCATGCCTCATATACATATCACAGACATAGAAGAAATATATGACATAATCTTTATACGATAAATTGGATTAATCCTAGATCTTTGGCTACCTCACATGCACCTGGCCTACTAATTCGTCTCTGCTTTGTATACACCAAACCTTTGAGCTGCTTCAGTCACTGTTGAAAAGATCTCACAAACACAGCCTGTTGGAGGGAGATTTACTATTTTCTCCCCAGAGGTAGAACTTATTCCCTTACTTTCATAAGTGCTGGAACTAGGGGTGCTGGGGGTGCTGCTGCACACCCTAGCTTGAAGTGGTTTCCTTCATATACTGGGTTTACAGTTTGGTTCAATGGCTCTCAGCACCCCCGCTGTACAAATTGTTTCAGCACCCCTGCTTACTTTCTTCCCTCCCCCTGAAAAAATTACCAGTCCAAGATGCAGACTGGTGGATTTAAGGTCCAGTATCTTTGACCCTCTGTGACAGAGCAACTTGACATTGAAAGTTTGGAGTCTCAGAGAAGAAAAAAACAAGTTTTTAACAAGCAGGGCTTATTCCCCTATTTATTTATTAGGCCTCCAGTCTAGGTGGGTCAGGGCTCCCCTTTCATGCCAGTGTAACCAGACTAAGACGGTCCAGTTTCAGGAAAAAGACTATGAAGCAGGCCCTGGGAGGCCTGTCAGTGAAAAACAGGTATTTTTCATTTACAGAGTGGGAAAAATTATGCCTGCCTGTCAATCTTCTTTTTTGCAAGGCATGCTGGGAAGGGGAAGTCTCTGGGGCCCTATAAAATGCAGACACTTGACAGTCAGCACCTTCTGCTTTCTTGGAGGAGGTCTCTTGTGTGAAAGACCTTTTTAGTTGTATATAGATGATTCTGAAAACTGTCTTACTGACCACTTTGGGTAACTCTTTTATGTAATCTTTTGTCTGGGAGCTATTGGGGATCTCCTGCAAGGTTGCTGAGTGCCCTTAACTCCATTTGCGGTCGATGGAGCCCATGAGATTGGACCCCTTGAGACTGCCAGACCAAAGAACCCCCGGCTCAATTTCCTAGTGAAAAGACTGTCTAACTGACAGATCTGAAAATTTAACTCAACCTGGGATCTGGGAGTCAAGCTGGATCTTTCCTGCTCATATGGCCATCCTCAATAATAATGATTTCACAGGCCACCTCTGCAGCTTCGCTCTGTGCAGAGGAATTGTGCACCTGTGATGCAATTGTTTTCAGTGGAGTTATGGAGCTGTAACTGTCTTCTGTGTGATTGTGGAGGTATAAAATGAGAGCACAATCAAGCTCTTCAGTTGGAATTTGCTCTACAGTTCTATTGATGCCCAAGTAGGAATGGAATCCAGCTCACTCTTTTAGGTGAGCTGGTTCTGCAAGGTAAACAGGAGTAAAAATTTTATTTAAAGTCAGCAGATACAGCTCTCAGTACATGCAGGGGGAAGATATGGTGAGTCAGAAAGTGCCATTTTTCCATACTCGCTTTATAGAGTAGACTCACCAAAGCCTGCTTAATGGCAACTTCTGTTTCTCACAGCTTTTCCTTCCACTAGCGGGAAGTTTTATGTGACTTGCAACTAGCTGAAAATAAAATTGCCAAAGCAGCGGTGTTTGGGGTGTTTATGTCTGTACATGCTCTGAGAGAGAGAGAACTACCTTAGGTTCTATGCAAGAATCAAAAAATTACCTGGATCTAGGCATATAGGACAGAATTACTTCCAGTTATTCTGGAAAGCCTTTCAGATAGGCTTCTGAGTCTAGAGAGCTGCTAGCCCACAAACACGTGAAGGATTAGAAAGGAAATCAAAGTGGGCTCACTGGATAATGGCTACTAAATTCAAGTCTCAGAGGAACAGCCGTGTTAGTCTGTATTCGCAAAAAGAAAAGGAGTACTTGTGGCACCTTAGAGACTAACCAATTTATTTGAGCATGAGCTTTCGTGAGCCACAGCTCACTTCATCAGATGTGTACCGTGGAAACTGCAGCAGACTTTATATACACACAGAGAATATGAAACAATACCTCCTCCCACCCCACTGTCCTGCTGGTAATAGCTTATCTAAAGTGATCAGCAGGTGGGCCATTTCCAGTACAAATCCAGGTTTTCTCACCCTCCACCCCCCCACACAAATTCACTCTCCTGCTGGTGCTAGCCCATCCAAAGTGACAACTCTTTACATAATCAAGTCGGGCTATTTCCTGCATAGATCCAGGTTTTCTCACTTCCCCCCCACCCCCAAACACACACAAACTCACTCTCCTGCTGGTAATAGCTCATCTAAACTGACCACTCTCCAAGTTTAAATCCAAGTTAAACCAGAATATCTGGGGGGGGGGGGGGGTAGGAAAAAACAAGAGGAAACAGGCTACCTTGCATAATGACTTAGCCACTCCCAGTCTCTATTTAAGCCTAAATTAATAGTATCCAATTTGCAAATGAATTCCAATTCAGCAGTTTCTCGCTGGAGTCTGGATTTGAAGTTTTTTTGTTTTAAGATAGCGACCTTCATGTCTGTGATTGCGTGACCAGAGAGATTGAAGTGTTCTCCGACTGGTTTATGAATGTTATAATTCTTGACATCTGATTTGTGTCCATTTATTCTTTTACGTAGAGACTGTCCAGTTTGACCAATGTACATGGCAGAGGGGCATTGCTGGCACATGATGGCATATATCACATTGGTGGATGTGCAGGTGAACGAGCCTCTGATAGTGTGGCTGATGTTATTAGGCCCTGTGATGGTGTCCCCTGAATAGATATGTGGGCACAGTTGGCAACGGGCTTTGTTGCAAGGATAAGTTCCTGGGTTAGTGGTTCTGTTGTGTGGTATGTGGTTGTTGGTGAGTATTTGCTTCAGGTTGCGGGGCTGTCTGTAGGCAAGGACTGGCCTGTCTCCCAAGACTTGTGAGAGTGTTGGGTCATCCTTTAGGATAGGTTGTAGATCCTTAATAATGCGTTGGAGGGGTTTTAGTTGGGGGCTGAAGGTGACCGCTAGTGGCGTTCTGTTATTTTCTTTGTTAGGCCTGTCCTGTAGTAGGTAACTTCTGGGAACTCTTCTGGCTCTATCAATCTGTTTCTTTACTTCTGCAGGTGGGTATTGTAGTTGTAAGAAAGCTTGACAGAGCTCTTGTAGGTGTTTGTCTCTGTCTGAGGGGTTGGAGCAAATGCGGTTGTATCGCAGAGCTTGGCTGTAGACGATGGATCGTGTGGTGTGGTCAGGGTGAAAGCTGGAGGCATGCAGGTAGGAATAGCGGTCAGTAGGTTTCCGGTATAGGGTGGTGTTTATGTGGTCAGTTTAGATGAGCTATTACCAGCAGGAGAGTGAGTTTGTGTGTGTTTGGGGGTGGGGGGGAAGTGAGAAAACCTGGATCTATGCAGGAAATAGCCCGACTTGATTATGTAAAGAGTTGTCACTTTGGATGGGCTAGCACCAGCAGGAGAGTGAATTTGTGTGGGGGGGTGGAGGGTGAGAAAACCTGGATTTGTGCTGGAAATGGCCCACCTGCTGATCACTTTAGATAAGCTATTACCAGCAGGACAGTGGGGTGGGAGGAGGTATTGTTTCATATTCTCTGTGTGTATATAAAGTCTGCTGCAGTTTCCACGGTACACATCTGATGAAGTGAGCTGTGGCTCACGAAAGCTCATGCTCAAATAAATTGGTTAGTCTCTAAGGTGCCACAAGTACTCCTTTTCTTTTAAATTCAAGTCAGCTCTCAATACCAAGCTTCATGTTATAATAACAAAACATCTTTGTGGATGGGATTTTCAGAAGTGCTATGCCCTAGTTTAATTCCACTTTCATTGCCATGGAACTACCACTGACTTCAATGAGAGCAGACCAGACCATAGTGTTGAGCACTTTTGCAAGTTCCACCCACCTTGCAGCTGCAGTTTGCCCTGAGCCTCCTAGCAGAGAAGCCGTTCTGTCCTACAGCAGCGTCAGCCATAGGGAGCTCTGAGACCCATTTGCAGAAGGAAATAAAGTACTCACAAGTGCTAAAATATTAAATCTCACACTTTTAAATGTCAAAATGTTCCTAACCCTGTCTCTGGAAAATACAGAGACTTTTTTCACCCAATTTATATTTTTTAAAAATCTTGGATTATGTTAAAAATCAAAATTAAGTGAAGAAATTCTGGGGAATGCGTTCATTTTTAAAAACCTTGTTCCTGACTACAGTGAGACTAAAATAAAGAATGATGGATGAAGTTTTGTATGGTTATACATTTCCAGTAACAACATATATGTCAAAACCTTTAGAGTGCATCCAATCTGCTATGGACTTGTGGCCTGTTCTATAAAATGCAGAGCTGGTGGGAAAAATTCCTATTAAAGTATTTTTATGTCAGAATTCGCCAATTTGTCAAAATTGAAACCTTTTTGAGGAGATGGTTTGATTTTGAAAAAATACTGCACTTAGAGTGTGTCTGTGTCATGTTTCTGAGGAGAAGAGACCACAATGGCCAAACATAGAAAGTGCCCTTTTTAAAGGGATTGGAGGAAGGTTTCTGAGCCAGCAATAAAATCTGTGACATGTGACAAAGCTGGCTAATTTGCATGAACATCACCCAATATCTTGTGTATATCTTTTTTTTGGGTTGAAACCCTTCTCTTCCTGCTATGGTACATCGGCTGTTCTGAGACACTATGTCACGAGAATGGTAAGATAGCATCTTATCTTACAGGGAAATATGTTTTAGTAAGTTTTAAGAAAAAGATTAGGTAATTACAGTATATGAATAAGAACAGCATTTGCAGTAGACTATGTAAAATAACAGACTATTCTTCTTAGTTTGGGGCACAAATGGCTCACCAGCTGGAGTCAAGAAGAAAAGTCCATTGTGTTTACAGTATCACACAGTACATTTATGGGTTTCTTGCTTGCTCTGAAGCAATGAACATTGGCTGCTGTTAGACAGTAAGTTGATATGGTTTGTACTGCTATTTCTAAAATGAATATAAATTAAATGTAATTATTCTCATATGTTCTGTTTCAGGGAAAACTGAGGCTGTAATCAAAAACTTCAGCCCACACTACCAACGCCAGTATGCTGTTGCTTTTTGTGAGCACATACAAAATGAACTGGAACAGCACCAAGACTTCCAGTCTCAATTCCTGAAAACCAAGGTAACATGAGATCTTAGGGGAATCCTAGGTTCTATGATGTTGCCTGACAGCTCTGCCCTGCTAGCACAGAAACAGCCAGACCTTATTAACATAGCTATCTTAAATATACACAAAATGCACTCTGAAACTCAAGATTATATCTGTAATCAAGAGGCAGAATTTCAGAAGTGCTGACCACCCGCAACTTCAGTTAAAGTCAGTGAAAACAGCAGATACTCAGGACCTCTGAAAATCAGGGCCAAAGTATCCTAACTGTGACATATAGTTAAGAAATAAATAATGTATTTCCATTTTCCTTACTTATATTTTTGGATATCTTTTTAATGGCCTGTAAATTTGGACACAAAACATCTTGGGTGCATCTCTTTTACAGTTAAACCCATGTTACCAGATGTGCCCTTTACTTTGGGGTATGCTCATTTATTAGGGTTACTCTTCGATGTGGGGGGGGGAGTTCTGTAATTCTATTAATGTACTGCTTATGTCACTTGTGTGTTCATGTGGAGCTCTACTCCTTACAGCTGCTAGTCCCCTCCCAATGGAGCTCTCCTGCACTACCTAGGTTCCCCAGGACTGGGTTCCTCCAGCCCTAGAACTAGATGAATATGCGCGCACACACTAACAGAGCAAGTCTGAGCGGACCAGGTTAATCAGCACTCTCAAGCTGATCCCCTCATATGTCCCGGTACTCAATGGGCTGGGTTAAGCAGCACCTTCAAGCTGTCACCCTTATGTGCCCCTGATCTCAATAGGCTGGGCTGAGCAGCACCTTCAGGTGCCCACCCCTTATGTGCCACAGGTGTAACACATCCCTATCCCACTTTCATGTCACAACTGTACTGGCAGTAACCCACTTGATGAGCAAACCCCACAGTATTTTTGAGCGCTACAGGGATCTTTAGCTTAGGTAAAAGAAGCGTTGCTGGAGAGTAAATGGGGGAAGCTAAAAACACAAAAGAGTAAAGTTCAGAGAGAGAGAGAAGCAACCAGCTTAACCATAAAAGTTATTTATTGAATAATAGTGATAACTACACAAGGAGGGCTAAACAAACTTAACATACATTATTAAAGGTAATACCTAAGGTAGAAAGGAAAACAGAGAGAGAGAGCATTAGATTTGTTTATGGGTAAACTGATGACTTAAGGGTTTTATTTAGGCTAGACAATAGGAGCTGATCACTCTTGGCTACGGGTGGTGTTTTCTTCCAGGGAGTTCACAATACAACTAGGCTGCTTCAGTATTTTGGATATCGATCAAGGATTTATTACTAGAATTGGTCTGATAATGGCTGAGCTGGGTGTGTGCAGGCGTATGTTCATTAACGTGTGGAGCAGAGATTTCCATGATGCAGTGTGTCCCTGCTTTTCTGATCCCAGAGTTCAGTGCAGTCTCCATTCTGCATGCAAATTGAGATGTCTCCCCATCCCATCTTTCATGCAGATGAGGCTAGGGGAGTTGTCTCTGTATTCCATTCTGTATGCTAATGGAGAAGTCTTAATCTTGTCACCTTTGTCAGGAGTAGTCTAGGTGTGTCTCCCATCTGCCCTTCATTGCTCTATGCAAGCCTTCTCTCTGATCGGTTTTGGTTCAAGGTGGGGGGTGTCTTTCACGAGTCAGACTGGATACTGTGCCCTGGTTCCCCAAAAACACAGAGCTGACTGGTATCACCCATGTATGTTTAAAGCTATGGTGTGTGCATGATTGGATAGATCTGTAACAAAGTTGCAAGTGCAGATGCAATTAGCATCCCAGAACTGTTTTCTTTTTGCACATGGTAGAAATGTTAAAGGTGTGTATAAGTGTGACTTCTATTGCTGTGTTTGAGGCCTTTTGAAAATTTGGCTCTGTTTTTTAGTTTACACATCAAGTAACTTGTATTACGTTTTTGGGGAAGAAAATATTTTGGAATAAGAAAAATACTGGTATGCAGCATACATTTCAACAGGGGTCAAATTTGGTGGGGAGGGGAGGAATAGTGGGGCTCTGACCACTTGCCAAGTTTTGTAGGTATCTCAGGATAAAGACAATACGTTATGGTTAAGGCCAAGAGTCTGTCACAGAAGTCACGGATTCAGTGACTTTCCATGATCTCCATGACTTCTGCAGCTGGCAGGTGGCTCTGACCCCAAGGCCAGCTGCACTCCCCACCACTCCCCATAACAATGGCGGTCCTGGGGCTCCTCCTGCCAGCAGTGGCTGCCGCAGTCCAGGGCTGCACCCCGCCAGCAGTGTCGGTGACAGTCCTGATCCGATGGGGCCGTCCTCTGCCAGCAGCGGCGGTCCTGTGCTGTACCCCCCAGCTCCAGCGGGTGCCCTAGAAGCACCCCCAGCACCAGCAGGCATCTCAGAGATGTCCCCAGCACCTGCCGGTGCCCCAGAGGCCCCCCCAACACCAACAGACACCCCAGAACTGCCACCCTCCCCAGCACCAGTGAGTGCCCCAGAGTCCCCACACCAGAGCTGCAGCTGTGCCCCTGGAGTTCCCTAGAACACCAAAAGTTTAGTCAGGGGTATATAGTACAAGTCATGGCCAGGTCACGGGGACGTGAATTTTTGTTTCTTGCTCGTGAACTGCCCATGACTAAATCTGAGCCTTAATTACAGTGGAAGTTTCTGTGGGAGAGTTAGCCAAATCTGTAAACCATGCCTGCAGGATTCCATAGGAAAGGCCAACACATGTCAAACTAATTCATGGAATAATCTAAAGAAGCATGCATGTATGGTTTTGATAAGGGAACGAAATGCAGAGAAATTGACCTTAATTGAGAGATGGGTGCTCACCTAAGTATTTCACTTGATTTGGCCTGAAATCACAAGTCCTCGCCTTGAGAGGTGTGAAACCTCATAGTTTATACTGCTTATGTGGGTTGGCTAGGCAAAGAGCCAGCACTCAAACACAAGTATTGCCCTTCGAAAAGATATATATGTAATAGCGACAGCAAAGCCAAAAAAAGTATAAATGAAAGAAACGTGAAATATTTTATGCCCACAGAATTGATTCTTTCAATCATAAAGTTAGTCTCCAAAATAAAATGGTCTTTTAACATGTAATGGAGAAGCACCTGGGAACAATGGGCCAGCTCTGCTGCAGAACTGACATCTAAAACAAAAGATAATTAATGAATTTGCTAATCTTACCACCATGAAAACTGAAAGGTTAATAAGAACTCCTCTACAACAGAGATCTAGAAATAAGTTTTGAGAGAATTAGGCCCACGAGCGCCCGACCCTCTGAAGCCATCTGAATTCAATTACCTGGGTTGCATCTACTTGATTCAAACAGATGAGCCTAATCCTGAGTTTCAAGAGAAGGCCCAAAGAACCCCCAGATGGTCCTTGCTAATATGCCCTCTGGAAAATTTAGAAGGAAAACCTTCAAAATAGCCAGTATTTGTGCAAAATGCTTTCATATCTGGTCACTTTCTTTTCAGCCCCCTGTGGAATCTGGGATGATCTTATATGAAGCAGAGTTGTTGCATTTTGCTGAAGATCTGAAGAAGTGGAAGGAGAGATATATTGTGATCAGGAATGACTATGAAGTGCAGAGCTTTGAGAGCAAAGAGGTAAAGTTGCTCTAGGGTGACCAGATGTCCCAATTTTATAGGGACTGGCCCAATATTCAGGCTTTGTCTTATATAGTTATCTGTTATCCCCCCATCCTCTGTCCCAATTTTTCACACTTGCTATCTGGTCACTCTAAGCTTCACTCTCACATGTTACTGCTCCCGTGTGGAGTTGGTAACATGTAATTGGGTCTGTTGTACCTCATTCTTTCTGTTCGATTTTAAAAAATTACTGAACTCAATATTCTGAAACTTGTCGATAATCTGAATAGGAGTGGATTCTAGGTTAACACAGATGCTGTTTTATTACAAATGGATCAACTTCTGTCCTCAGATAAGCAGGTGCAACATCCATTAAGCACTTTTCATTTATCAAATGTTTTGCAAGTATTTACAATTAATCTTCACAAGACTTCTGTCTTCCCCATATATATCCATCTATCAACATTTCTAAGGTGTCTATCACTGTAGTACCAAACCGGTGTTTCTGGAACTGCAATTTAACTAGCAATTTATCTGCTGATTCCCATATACCACTGTGCAGCTTTCTGTTTAGCTGGAACGTTGGACCTGCAATAGTGCCGATGTCCAAACTAGTTTTAGCCATCAGACTAAGTAGATATAGCTTGAAAGTTTCACAGTGCCAGATAAGCAGTACCAAAGGGCCATTTTTGTACACATTTTGCTGACCTTTTTACACTTAAACATTATTCAGATTTGATGCTTTCAGGAAATAGATCTGAATTTAGCCCACCAAAACTGCTGTCTTTAGAGAGGATCTATGAACTAGTTCAGGGGCGGGCAAAGTTTTTGGCCTGAGGGCTGCATCAGGTTTCCAAAATTGTATGGAGGGCCAGTTAGGGGAGTCTGGGCCTCCCCATACAGCCAGGCATGGCCCAGCCCCCGACCCCTATCCAACGCCCCCTGCTTCTCGCCCCCGATGGCTCCCCCTGGGACTCCTACCCCATCCACCACCCCCTGCTCCCTGTCCCCTGATCACCCCTGGACCCCTCACCCCTGACTATCCTCTGCCGCCCCATCCAACCCCTCCTCTCATTCCTGACTGCCCCCCTGGGACCTCTGCCCCCATTCAACCCCCCTGTTCCCCACCCTCTGACTGCCCTGCCCCCTGACAACCCCCCCCAAACTCCCCTGCCCTCTATCCAACCCCCCCGCTCTCTGCCCCCTTACCGCGCTGCCTGGAACACTGGTGGCTGGCGGCGCTACAGCTGCGCTGCCGAGCTGGGCCAGCCACGCACCGCACAGCACAGAGCACCGGGTCAGGCAGCCGTGCCGCCCGGCTGGAGCCAGCCACGCCACCGCGCAGCACAGAGCACCGGGTCAGGCAGCCGTGCCGCCCGGCTGGAGCCAGCCACGCCACCGCGCAGCACAGAGCACCGGGTCAGGCAGCCGTGCCACCCGGCTGGAGCCAGCCACGCCACCGCGCAGCACAGAGCACCGGGTCAGGCTGGGCTCTGCAGCTGCGCTGCCCCAGGAGCTCGCAGCCCTGCTGCCCAGAGCACTGCGCCACCGGCACAGTGAGCTGAGGCTGCGGGGGAGGGGGAACAGCAGGGGAGGGGCCAGGGGCTAGCCTCCCGGGGCCAGGAGCTCAGGGGCCGGGTAGAAGGGTTCCGCAGGCCAGATGTGGCCCGCGGGCAGTAGTTTGCCCACCTCTGTACTAATTCCATGTAAATGAATTGGGGATATGTTATAGGCTGAGACTACCATTTTTAAAATCTTTATTTTGATCTTTCTCTCTCATGTACCTCCCCCACCAGGCATATCAGAAGGGAGTCAGCCCTAAATATCGTATTCTTCCTGCAGGAGGCAAAGTACTGACCTTAGAAGAAGATTACAATTTGCTGTCTGATAAGCATTTTCCAGACCCAATTGGTAAGCATTGTCAAAAACTGAAATGCGATATTTCAACTTTTTTCCACAAAGTCTTTCTTTTAGACCTTGAGGCTATGTTTTAAGCAACGTAACAGAAGATGGGTGCTCCATGTTTTCCATTATCGAAACATAATTCCAGAAGACCACACACTACATGCTATTAATTAATGAATAAGTACTGGATACTTGTTGTCATGCTGTCACTACAAAATAGTTTTGTGAACTGCACAAAGCAAAACCACAAGCAGACTAGAAAATACCTCTTCCATATTTTACTTATCCCCATCATTGGATGTCAGTTGTTTCCCTTTAAAGGCACTTGATTGGGTGTCCTACACACAAATAGAAGGGAAGTTGTTAATTGTAGATACAGTGGAGTCGCATCAGACACACATTTTACTTACGCGAATTCAACTATACGCGCTCAACAAAAAAAAAGAAAAATAACAATAACTTGCAGCAGTCGAGTCGATGGGAGAGTGCTCGGGGGTCAATTTATCGCGTCTAGACTAGATGCGGTAAATTGATCCCCGCTGGATCGATTGCTGTCCACTGATCCAGTGAGCATCTCTCTGTGCTGAGTGTGATTCTAGTGTTTAAAGATACGTATTTTTCATACAACATGCCCCCTAAACACAAGCCAACTACTTCATCTGGTGCTCAACCGAAGAAACAGCGATCTGTTCCAATGCTGGAGGAAAAACTGGCTATGTTGGACTTATTGAGAGACGGTATGTCGGTCTCCAACATGGCACGTAAATATGGCTGCAACGAATCTAGCATCCGTGGCATCAAGATTCAAGAGAGAGAAATTCGTCAAGCTGTGGCATCGAGTGCTCCAATAACTGCTAAGGTGACGAGCCAGGTGTGTGATAGGACTTTAGTGAAGACTGAAAAGGCATTAAACTTATGGCTGGAAGACATGAACCGTAAACGGGTGCCTATCAATGGCAACACGTTGCGAGAAAAGGCTCTTAGCCTCTATGCGCTGTTCAAACCTCCTGCCGAAGAGGAACAGCCTTCTGATGAGAAGAAATTCAAAGCCAGCCAGGGTTGGTTTAACAGTTTTAGGAACCGCTTCAACCTCAAAAACGTGCAGACTACTGGTGAAGCTGCATCTGCCAATGAAGAGGCAGCAAAAGCTTACCCTGAACAATAAAAGAAAATCATAGAAGAAAAGGGCTATCTTCCGGAACAAGTTTTTAATGCTGACGAGACTAGGCTCTTCTGGAAAAAAATGCGCAACCGCACTTACACTTCGAAATCAGAAAGACAAGCCCCTAGCTTCAAAGCAGCTAAAGACCGTGTGACTGTGTTGTTTTGTGGCAATGCAGCTGGGCATTTAATAAAGCCAGGCTTGCTCTACAGGGCTGAAAATCCCCGTGCCCTAAAAGACAAGAACAAAAATCTCCTGCCTGTGTTCTGGCAATCAAATAAAAAGGCATGGGTGACGGCAGGATTATTTCTGGATTGGTTCTACAGGTGTTTCATTCCGGAGGCCAAGCAGTACCTTGAAGAGAAAGGACTTGACTTTAAAGTGTTGCTGATCATAGACAATGCTTCTGGCCATCCTGAGGCACTCTGGTTTGCGCATAATGACATTGAAGTCGTCTTTCTCCCTTTTTTATTCTTTCATTCTTCCGTCTCTCTCTCTCTTTAACTATACGTGATTTTCGCCTCACGTGCTGACTTTAGAACCTAACCCCTGTGTAAGATGCGACTCCACTGTAATAGCTCCACATTATTTTGTATTGCTTATACACCACAATGATTTTTCCTCCCATGAAAATGAAGAAAGCTCTAAATCTAAGGGGCCAGATGTGGATTGGAACAGCTGAGGAGGGGGATAAGGGACACAGGTGTCTTTCCATCACCTTTCTGACCTCTAAGTCTTTTCAGTGCTGCACTAACTTGTGACTGTTGGCCCAGGATTGCCAGAGGCAGCATGGTCCTAGAATACCTGCTAATATAAATAAATAATAATAGTAATCATACAGCAGCGTTAGGCCATCTGGGGACTCTTCTATACAAAGAGTTCCTAGCTGCCTTTTTCTGGCAGGTCTGTCCCCTTTGTGCCAGTCAAAGATCTGGCTTTGTGAGTTTAACATCTTTACTCCAAGCAAAGTCTCTAAAGAGACTGTAAATGGAATTCCCAGTTGCACACTGCGAAGCATAGATACAATGACTTTTATTCTACTTAACTATAAATGGAGTTCTACAATATCTGTGTGAACAATAAGCCGGTCTAGATGTTTTAAGGGACCTTATTTGATCTGTCCAAGAGCACAGAATTCACAGAGCTTTTAGAAGATAGTGCATCAGGGCTTAAATGGAAGGAAAAGTGGGGGTAAGGAAATGCACACTCTTCCTTTTTGTTAAATATAATTTGATCAATACATTATACAGAGGAGACAGTAGGGAAAGAAATGAGAATTCCCCATGCTTAATTTTTTTTTACCATGAAAGCCCTGCTGCCTACCTTTCATAATCCATCTAAAATTATGATTCTCCAAGGTGCCTAAACTTTGCCCATTTGAGGACTGTATCTAAGTTGAATACAAACAAATGCCTCTGTAATATGGAAGTGCCACCTGCAGAGATTGCAGGTCCCAGGCATGCAATGCTGCAACCTGATCTGAATGACCATTTTCTTGGATCAAGAAGACGTGTACTTTTCCTAGGACAGACCTCCATGATAAAGAAGAAATATTATTTGAGAACCTTAATGGATTTATTTCTCCTATAGCTTTAATCACAAGGTAAAAATGTTTTTTAAACTGGCCGGAAAAGCCCAGAAACTTGTTTTAAACCAGATATTTCTATTTATGTATGTATATATATATGTATGTATTTATTTATTTAGCTTCTAATGAGAAGGAAAATGCCCAGGCATTTGTTCTCCTGCCAAAAGAGTTTCCAGTTTACCTGTGGCAGCCCTACCTCAGACACAGCTACTACTGTTTTGAGGATCCAGAAGCTCAGAAACAATTTAGTGCAGTGCTGAACGACTGTGTCAGACACTTAAACCAAGGTAAGTACAACAATGGCTTCCTGTTGTGTACCCTTACTTGTGGTTAAGCCTGATTAGCCTACTGTAAGATCCATCTTGTGGAAAAATAAAATATTATGGAAGTCCCATTCTCTTCTCGGAGGTGCTTCCTTGTAAGTGCCTTGAGTAAAACCTATATTAATGTAGATCATTTTCTTTCAGTGCTACAGCTAAATCTGGTTTAAGTTAAGCTATATTTTAGCAAGTACAAGCACGTTACATTTTAATAGGATTCAAGCAGTTATTCAACATGGCTTTTAATAGTTGTAGTGTGCTTGGATGCAAAACACGTTAGCCTCTTTGAAATGGTGTTCCAATTCCTCATGGGAATTTAAAACCTGTACCATAAAGTAAAACCATCCAAAGAGTTTATTGGACTCCTACTGTATTATGTATACATGGTCTACTGGACATATGATGTATGCTGGCAGCAAGATGAGAATCTGATGCATGCTATTTAACCGAGTTTTAACACTATAAACATTTTTGCTCAAATGTTATAGAAATCATATGTTAGTGATCATATTGAGATAATTATGGTGCATCAATGATGGTTAGAATTTGTTTTCTTTGGGGGAAGCTCACCCTTCCGCTGATGGCAGCGCAAGGGCTATGCACCAATTAAGACCTCCCGGTAGAACCTGAGTGGTGCATTCACTCTCTGATTTTTCTCAATACTTGGGACTAAAAGGCTTTTTTAAAACTATGAGTTCACTATGAGTATAATTGGTGGGAGTATTTTTTTACATTGACTTCAGTGGGAGCAGAATCAATACCTGCAAAAAAGAAATGATTTAAAATCTTCGAGATAGCTGTACTGAGGTGGGTATCCAAAGGGAGTGAGTGCCACATCCAAAGGATTACTATATCAAATGCTTGTTTACTTGTTGTTCTAGGTTGTAAAGATAAAACCCCGGGAAGATGGCTGGGGCCAAAGCACAGATAATGGTCAGAGCAAGACTTAATGAATAATGATCAAATATAGGCAGATCCCTCACTGTCCAAAAACTAAACTGGATTACCTTAAAACGTAGCAACTGCTCTCTTAAAATAGGCAGCCACTGAAGAGAAAATAGGGTCCACATTTGTCTATAGGGCCTTTATTGCATCATGCCTGAAAGTTCTCTCTTGAAAGTTGTGCTTGCTTTGCAATTACAACAAAAGTAAAATGTTGGCTGGTTTACAGTGAGGTGTCAGTTGAGGATACTTCTTAAAGGCTTGCTGAAAAGATGAAGAAGTCCTGACCTCATCAGTTTCATAAGGAGTTCTTAGAGCTGCTAATGGTTTTCATAGGGCAATATTAAGAGGTTTCAGTATTGTCCAGGGGTCGGCAACCTTTCAGAAGTGGTGTGCCGAGTCTTCATTTATTCACTCTAGTTTAAGGTTTTGAGTACCAGTAATACATTTTAACGTTTTTAGAAGGTCTCTTTCTGTAAGTCTATAATACATAACAAAACTATTGTTGTACGTAAAGTAAATAAGGTTTTTAGAATGTTTAAGAAACTTCATTTAAAATTAAATTAAAATGCAGAGCCCCCTGGACCAGTGGCCAGGATCCGGGCAGTGTGAGTGCCACTGAATCAGCTCACATGCTGCCTTTTGGCACGCGTGCCATAGGTTGCCTACTCCTGGTATAGTCACTATTGAAAAATTTCAGCATTTAACAGCTTCCATGTAGTGCTATTGAAGACCTCAGTATTTCTATATATTTAAGATGAGAAATAGCAGCAGTATCTCAGCTACCACTGTTTGGTAATGGTTGGTAAAAGTCTAAATTCTAGTGGTGAATGTATGTGAAGTTTCCACTGCATAAACATTGGCTGAAGGTACAATATTATTGATTTATTTTTTCTGCAGGAACCCTTCTGAAAATACTAGGGTATTGCATGTTAATGATCCAAAATACTGCAGCTTACAGGAACAATTACGCACTGGGTTTTTTGGGAGGCCATTAGTGCACAATACTGCAGATATTTTCTCATGAGAAAACTTTCCAACCTCCAGAGCAGAGGCTGTCATTTGGAGAAGGAATGAGTTTTGACCGTTAGTATCTAAAGAAATGACCAAGGGACAAAAATGTTCATTTAACAGCAAAAGACAGCTTCATTCCTGTCTTCATTCAAGGCTCAGTCCCACTTCTCACTTACTGAGATGTATATTGCAACGTGTTTAACTGATTTTTTTAAGATACGCAACTGTTTGCACCCATGAACTCAATGGTGGTCATAGGCAGATGCTACCTTTGCAGTCACATAAACCCATGAACACCAGGGGGCTACATGCCTCACCAGTAAATAGATGTCATGGATTCTCTCAGGGTTCTGCAGCCTTCCTCTAGGGACCAGGTGTGGGTGGTCAGGCCTAATTGTCAGAGTCAGGAGCATGGAACCTAAGCTGGGGTCAGACCGAGGTGCCAACTCAAGGGTCAGAGATGGAGACACAGTCAGGTACCAAGCCAGGGATCACAGCTGAAGTCAGCATCCAGGGTAGGTTATAGGAGCAGGGACCTGGAGCAAGGCAGGAACCGGGAACAGACCAGGTCTGGGATGAGGAGGGCAGGAATGGAAAGGAACAGGCTGGGAGTCAGGGTTGAGGAGTCAGGCAAATAAGCAGGGTCCATAGCACCAGCTAGTCAGGGATTCACCTAGTTGCTCAGACAACTTCCTGTGCCTCTTTCAGGTTTAAGTAGTGCATCTCAGCCAATCCGTGGGGCTGGATTTCTCCCCAACTCAGGAGCTTCATGGCTGGGGCCCTTTGTGAGCTAGAGCTTTGGTAGCCCCCTTTTCTACTGGTTCAGGTGAGCTGCTGAGTGGCAGCCCCAGTGTGAACATTGCCTGGGGATCTAGGGTTCAAGGCCTATGATCCCTCGTACCTCCTTTCTCTTCCTTCCTTGCTCATTTGCAAGCTAGTACCAGATTTAGTAAGACACCAGCAAGAGATTTTTCTCTGTTCTTTGGTTACCTTGTACAGATCTGGATAAGCTGCACTTCTCTACACAGGTGTAGATATATTAGTTGCTAAAAGCCTAATGTAGAGACAACCTCAGTCACAGGAAGCATAAAGATTTACCAAATTAGGGCCAGTTTTATATATGTGAAAGGCCTCTGTTTCAGAGGAACACGTATGCACTTAGCACTTTCAAGTGTCTTGAAACTATAAAGCTTCAACAAATATTCCATGTATAGCTGCCATCTGAAGCCAATTTCCCACAGCATTCTTAAAACGAAAGTTTCCCCTTGTGGTTTATAATTCTGATTAGTCTGCTCTTTTAGCTGTGATCATACAATACAAAAGTGCTCCAAACTAAAAAGCAATACTTTGGTTCTACAGCGAGTTACAGAATTCACAATAGGGATAGAATCATGTTTTCCTGGCACTGTGTAAGTCGTCTGTGACTTGGATCTTTGTAAGTTTTTGGATTTTGTTTTCCTTCTTATTGCACAAGTATTAACAGACTTGACAGGGCTTTTGGCAGCCTCCATTCTTAACTTAAGTTCACCACGTGCTTTAGGGGACAATCCTGCACTGGCAGATGATGGGAGTAGGTGACCCAATAGGTCTTTTCCATCTTAATGTGTGTGATTCAGTGTTTTATTATATTTCTCACATTTCAGCTGTTGCTGATATATGTGCCTGTTCCATGATTTCTTGCTTGCCTCTCTCCTCTTTCCTGAGGTCAGGCTTTTATCTGATACAAGATTTTTAATGAACACCAAGGCATTTTTACCAAGGCACCTTACATCTGGTTTATTCCCACTCAAGAAACGTATTTGCTAAAAGCAAATCAGAATAAAACATATCATATTCCAGTAGAAGAGCCTGAACATTAAAAACTAAGTAAATTGTAAGCTAATGTTACATAATTCTTATAATCTTACATGCAGTTCCTTGTGAACACATCATTAACAGAAAATGTTGCACTGACCAGCACCCAAAGAACCTTAACTCTTCCCTTGGAGAAAACATTCCTAACAGTTATTTGTGGGAGGAATATTGGTTTATATGCTTTCTCTCTTCTTTGGAAGTCACGGAATCCGTGACTTCCATGACCTCTGTGACTAAATCGCAGCCTTAACAATGACTCACTTAAAGTACTGGACATCAGAATGTCTTTTACTAAGATAAGGAGCATTAGTCAAGGCACCATTCTCCCCAAATCTTCTCAAAAAGTGCTAGGTAGCTTTAACTTTTGCCAGGAGAGCTGTTAGAAAATGGCACCAGGTATCTAGATGCAATGTGTTATCTGAAATTGCCATGCTATTTTCCTGCAAAATGCCATTGGGAATTCTAAAATGAGTTTATAATGCTGTTTTATAGGTGAAAATTCTGTAGTTTGTTTTCTGAAATATTTGTTTTCTTCCAAGACACAAAGTTAATTCCTTCATGCGCACTGTTTCTTGGAGAGTGTGGGGCTGTAGTGAGTCAGCATGTCGTCTTGACAAGGGAGTGCTGCTGGATTTCCTTTTCTAAACTGTTTTAACTGTTTCAGCTTTGTTTAATTTTTTTGGTCAGAATTCATAGAATCCAAGGAATAATTACAGTGGGATTTACTGATCACTGTTTCTAGATATGAATCAGCTCAATAGATCATGTTTTCTCTTCCAAAAACCAATTCCTATTGGTGCTGGTGTGTTTGCCCTTCATTTATGCTGATCCATGAGGCTTTCAGGTGATATGGAACAAGCCTGGTGTTCACTAGGAAATTTGGTTAGTATAACTAGGTCGCTCAGGGCTGTGGAAAATCCATGCCCGTGAGCAACACAGTTAAACTGACCTAACCCCTGATGTAGACAGCACTAGGCTGGCTGGAGAATTCTCCCATCAACCTAGCTACAGCCTCTTGGGGACATGGAGTACTTACACCAATGGGAGAACTTCTCCCATCGGCATAGGTAACATTTTCACTGAAGCACTACAGCAGCACAGCTGCAGTGGTACAGCATTGTAAGTGTAGACAAGCACTCAGATTTGAAGTAATCTGA